ACGGTGCAGCTCTGCCGACACCCTGATGTTGAACTTCTGGCATTCAGGACTGTGGGAAAGTACATGTACTGTTTTAAGCCATGAAGCTTGTGATAATCTTTATGGCAGCCACGGGAAACCAATACATGTCTCAATGAAGTAACAAGCCTCCAGCTATCCTTTATCTATCACTCGATGCAGGCATTAATAAGCAATGATGGCCCCCAGAGTCACTTGCCCGAGTTCAAACAGTTCCCCCCTTACCCTCTTGTGACCTTGGGCAAGAGAGTCACCTCTCCCTGTTTCTCTTTCCTCATCTTTCATTCAAAAATAAGGTGTTTGCCCCACGGAATTGTCAGCCTCAGATGAATTAATGTCTGTAAAGTGCTGAGAAACATGGCTGGCATAGCATGCATGCTTCAGGAGCATCTGCCGTTACTAGCAGCTATGAATGGAGGTTTTTCTTCTGAAGAGTAAACGGACACCACAGGTTTTTGCTTTAAAGCATCAGCGGGTGGAAAGTTAGACTAAATTCTTGGGGAAATGAACTCAAACCTATGAGCTGAGGACCAGTGGTTTCAGTTTAAGATTACTAGGCACCAACAAAGCCTTGTAAATCCACCCCTGGACGGGGCACAGTGGCTCATGTCTATGATCCCAGCACTTTGAGACTCTAAGGCGGGAAGATCACTGGAGCCCAGGAGTTCAAGGTCAGTCTGGGCAACATATCGAGATCCTGTCTCTACAAAATAAAACAAATTAACTGGGCATGGTGGTGCATGCCTGTAGTCCCAGCCACTCAGGAGGCAGAAGTGGTAGGATTGCTTGAGACCAGGAGTTCAAGGCTACAGGGAGCTAGGATCACACCACTGCACTCCAGCCTCGATGAGAGAGCAAGACCCTGTCTCTAAAAATATAAATAAATAAATCAACCCTTGATTAACACATTTGCTCACCCTTCCTTATCACAGACAGTGCACACTGGATTCTTTTGGAAATGCGAAGAATCACAGGAGAAGGCAGGAGAAAGATATGCTCCTGGCTGAGTCTCCTAAAAACATGGTCAACTGCCACACTTCCCAAGCAGGGCTGGGGAGTGGGTGAGGGCTACTGACTTACCCTTGCCTCAGTTTCCTCAGCTGTAGACTGGGGGTAATAAGAGCTCCTATACGTGTAGGGAAGCTGTGGGATTCAGTAAGAAGCAGCTAACAAGAACACCAACAATTCTTATGTGTTTAGGCACTGTATGTCAGGGGCTATTCTAGGAGCTTGGAAAACATTAGGCAATATACTCAATTAAGTCATGCGTGTCGGCTAGGCACAGTGGCTTATGCCGCTAATCCCAGCACTTCGGGAGGCTGAGGCCGGCAGATCACTGAGGTCAGGAGTTCGAGATCAGCCTAGCCAACATGGTGAAACCCAGTCTCTACTAAAAATACAAAAATTTGCTGAGTGTAGAGTTGCACACGTGTGATCCCAGCTACTCTGGAGACTGAGGCAGCAGAATCACTTGAACCAAGGAGGCAGAAGTGGCAGTGAGCAGAGATCGTGCCACTGCACTCTAGTCTGGGTGACAAAGAGAGACTCTGTCTCAAAAAGAAAAAAAAAAAGAAGGAAAGAAAGAAAAAAAAGTCATGCCTATCCAGTTCACCAGATTAAGTCAGTAATGTATCAGCACCTTCGCCAATACTGCTACCAGAGAAACAGCTGCGTGTGTGTGTTTCAGTGGGATCTCAGGGGAAACCCCTCCACCGTAACTGAGATGCCAGTCTCCATAGGAGACCAGATCTTCTTGGTAAGAAGAGCTCTGCAGAGCAGCACGGGGTTCAAGCTCCACCTTTGCTGGGGGACTATGGCCAGTGATGGGCCACCCCACTCTGAAAAATAAAGCACGTCATAGTGCCTGCAGCTCCTGGTGCACACATACAGACACCATGGACATGAAGTGCCTGGCGGCCAAAAGGTCTGCAGTCAGCTGTATAGAAACTATAGCTGCTGTTGTTATTGTTAAGGGGGTGATAGTGTCACCCACAGATTGTCCCCGTCCATGAAGCTTCTCCAGCCTGGGGCTTTCTCAACCTCTGATGGCACCACATCCTGCCAATGAGTGGCAGAACAGGGAGGTGAGTAGGACAGAATCCAGGATTGAGGTGGGGAGAGGATGGAGTGGGAGGGAGGAGAGGGTGGGAGAGATTTGGAGAGAAAAGTCAATGCATGGAGGTGAAGAGAGGGTGGAGACTGAGGGACAGAGTAGGGGGAGCAGCTCCCAAGTCCCTGAGGACACCTCCCTCATTGGCTTCCCACTCTGGGTTCTGATTGGCATCTTCTGTCCTCAGGGACCCCAGGCCTCACACATGCACTCTCATCTCTGTGCCCCCAACTTCTGGGCTGAGCACTGCCTGTGCCCCACCCACCCACCCACAGGACCCTCACCCCCTGCTCCCCATCTGCTCTCACCGTGACCTTCCACTGTCTCTGCTCCAGCCGCAGGGTGAAGTTTCCCACCTGGACCGTGATCACCCTGGTCACACTGACTCGCCCATTACCCCAGGCCACGTTCTCCTGCAGGACGGCAAACTGATGCAGGCCAGGCCGGGTGCCGCAGGTCTGAGCCAGCACATACACGCAGGTGCCCATGAAGTCGAAGCGGCGGCCATCGAAGGTGGTGTAGTGGGGGTCTCCCGACGCCTGGCAGGTGGCAGAGCCCACGGCCACACAGCCCAAGCTGCCACCGGATGGCCGGCAGGTCTCATGTGGGCCGCAGCTGGAGGGTTGACAGGACACCAGGCCGCCCTCCCGGCAGTGGCAAAGGGAATCACACCCGGGGCCAGGGTAGAAGGTCTGGCCCAGCGGGTAGTAGCGGTCATCGTGGAGGCAGCCACACTGGCCCACAGGTACACAGGTGTCACCACTGAGCACGAAGCCAGCATCGCAGACACAGCCTTCACGGCACGCCGACTCACAGCCCTCGGGTGCTGAGAGGCTCGGGCAGCTCACGGGGCAAGAGTCACCGCAGAGCTCGTAGTGGCTGTGGGCAGGGCACTGGAAGGCTGTGGGGACAAGGTGGGCATGAGTCATGTAGGCATTCGAGTCGGGGTATGGGGAGGCCCTGAGTGGGAAAACTCCTCAGGTCAACCTGGCTGTCTCTGGGTATGCACATGTGATCCAGGACATCTAACTGGGGGACTCAGTGTGGGACCTGCAATGGGAGGGGACATGCCCACATCTCTCTGACCAAATATTTCTAAAGATCAAATGAGTCTGCTTGCCTGATATTTTTTTGAGACAGGCTCTCACTCTATCTCACTCAGGCTGGAGTGCAGAGCCCCAGTCACAGCTTGCTGCAGCCTCCACCTCCACCTCAAGCGATCCTCTGGCCTCAGCCTCCCGATTGGCTGGGACTACAGGGGTGAGCCACTACATCTGGCTCTTTATTATGATTTTTTATAGAGATGGGGTCTCACTATGTCAGCCAGGATTACCTGGGTGAAATGGATCACTCTTATCTATTCGGGTTATGCAAGATCAGAACTGACTATGGGTATCTCAGGATGTGAATGTGACTGGGGTATGGGGCCACATGTATCTCAGGGTATGACTCTGCCCGAGGGCACCCAGCTGTGGGTGTCTGACCTGGAGCATCTCCCAGAGTCCGTGTGACATGGTCTGTCTCAGGCTGTGCCTGGGTGAAGTTGGCAGGATACCTGTGACCAGGAGACCTGCCTGAAGGGAACCGCCTAGGACTATCCAACTATGCATCTGTGTGGATCTGCCCAGGGCAATGTCAGGATCCTGATTCTTTCTGAGTGTATCTGACCAGTTAGTATAAAATCTAAGCAGATACCACTGAAGGCATGCGACTAATTCTGTGTGGCTAGGTGTATTTCAGTGTGTGCAACAGACCAGGGCCCTGTGACCAGCTGTAACTCACTAGGTCTTCCTAACCAAGGGTACCCTGCTATGTGATTGAGGCAGGGTCAGTCATCCCAATCTACATGCCTTGGATGTCTGAGAACATGGATCACCAATCCCCAAGAGTGTCCTAGACCCCGGGTTTCTGACTAGGTGTTTGTTTCTTTCTGGTTTTCTTTTTTTTTTTTTTTTTTTTTTTTTTGAGATGGAGTCTCTGTTACCCAGGCTGGAGTGCACCGGCGCGATCTCAGCTCACTGCAACCTCTGCCTCCTGGGTTCAAGTGATTCTCCTGCCTCAGCTTCCCTATTAGCTGGGATTACAGGTGCCCGCCACCACACCTGGATGAATTTTGTACTTTTAGTAGGGACAGGGGTATCACTATGTTGACTGGGCTAGTCTCAAATTCCTGACCTCAGGTGATCTGCCTGCCTTGGCCTCCCAAAGTGCTGGGATTATAGGCGTGAGCCACCGCGGCCAGACTCTCAATACTTGTTTCTAACTGACTCTCTCTCACTGCAGTACCTGACTTGGGGCATTTCAGTGTGTGAGAGCCAAGGTGTTTCCTGACAGGAGATACCCAGCTCAGAGGAAGGAAGGTGGCCCCTGAGCCCCATGGAGGAGGAAGGGGCTGCTGTCTTACAGTCCTGGAAAGGAAGGGCAGGGAGAGACCCTACTATGGGGACCATGCACGGAGCAGTACTTACGACAGAAGTCCGGCCGCCTCCACTCGCCGAGCTGGGCCCCAGCGGCCTGACAAGCTGCCACGTAGGCGGCCACTGCAGGACAGAGGCCTCCAGGATGGCCCTGAACTTGGCAGGCGTCCAGCAAGCAGCCCTGGAAGTACTGCGCGGGTGGCACAAGGCCGTGGCAGGGCGCCAGCGAGCCGTTGGTGGCGGAGATCACGCCGCAGGCGTCCGGGCCGCCGAAGGACTCCTGCTGCTCTGGGGTGCACTGCGATGGGCATGGCCCAGACACACATTCTCCGCAGCCCGTGGCCCCGCCCACCTGCCATCCAGCCGGCTTCCCGTCCACAGCCTTCAGGTCATCTGCGGGGTCCTGGTTGTAGTTCCCGCATAAGCCACAGAGGGCGCCCGCGTACGCCGCCGGCACGCGCAGGCGCACGAAGCTGTCCCCATCGAAAGTCAGCGAGAGCCCTGAGGTTGTGGTCACCACTACGTCGGCGCCGCTCAGGTGTGCGTGCAGCAGCGAATCCAGATGGAAGGGCAGAGCCACGAACACGCCGTCCACCTGCGGGCGGGGGTTGGGGGAGCGGTAAGCAGAGCGAACACGGTTTTGAATCCTGGCCCCACCACCTACTAGCTGTGGGACCCTGAGCATGTCACCTCCCCTCTGAAAATAATAATGAGCATCTATAGGCCGGGCCTGGTGGCGCAGCCTACAATCCCAGTACTTTGGAAGGCCGAGATGGGAGGATGGCTTGAGGCCAGAAGTTCAGACCAGCTTGGGCAACATAGTGAGACCTGCATCTCTACAAAAAAAAATGAAAAATTAGCCAGTGTGGTCGCGGCGCCTTTAGTCCTGGCCACTGGGGAGGCCGGGGCCAAGGTGGGAGGATCGATTGAACCCAGGAGTTCCAGGCTGCAGTGAACCCTAATCCTGTCACTGCACTCCAGCCTGGGCAACAGGGTCAGGCTAAGAAAAAAAAAAGAGAGAAAGAAAAGCAAGAAAGAAAAAAAAAAAAAAGAAAAAAAAAAGAGCCTCTATAGGCACATGTCACTGACTCCTCATCCTTCTCTACAACAGGTACTTTTCTTAGACCAGTTTTCGGAGGAATACAGTAGGCTCAGAGAGGAAGAAGCCGCAGTGCCAAGCCATCAGGCTCCCAGGCCTATCCTCTGACCCTTCCATCATGCCCCAGCTAAGCTGTGAAAGGTGCCCGCCCAGGGGAATGGTGAAGCCCTTACCATCTCAGGCAACCCCAGAGCTGGCACCCGCTTCTGTCTGGCCCACAGCCCTCCTCACCTGTAGCTGCCGGGGCCAGCGGGCACTCAGTGTCAGGCTGTGGTTGTAGATTTGCAGGGTGACACTGCGGGTGTAGCTGACAGCCTGGCTGCCCCGGTGCTCATTGGCTACAGTGACAGTGAAGTTCGCAGCCCCGGAGGGTAGTCCGTGGCAGGGTGCACTCAGCAGGTACTCGCAGTTGCCTTGGAAATCGAATCGGTGCCCATCCAGAGTGACATAATGGGGGTCACCCCAGGCCTGGCACTCAGCTGTGCTGACGGGCTGGCAGCCGTGCTGGCCGGATGGCAGGAGGCCACACACTTCACCCAGCCCACAGCTGGCAGGTGTGCAGACCAGCGAGCCGCCCCCAGGCCCGCAGCGGCACCTGTGGGAACAGGTGCCATCAGCCCAAAACTCACTGCCCGCCTCGTGGTAGGTGCCGTTGGCCCAGCAGCCGCAGCCATTGTTTAGGGGAACACAGCGGTCAGCACTTAGCACGAAACCCGCATCGCACTGGCAGCCCTCCACACAGGGACCCTCGCATACGGCTGGGGTCGCAGGGGGCGCAGGGGATGGACAGCTGGCTGGGCAGGGTGGGCCGCAGACCTCATAGTGGCTGTTTTCTGGGCAGGTGATCTCTGTAGGCAGATGAAGGAGCAGGAAGGAGAGAAACAGAGAAAAGGGTGTTAGTGTGGGGTCACAGGACAGGGTGGGAGGAGATAGACAGCGACAATAGGGAGCAGACACCGAAAGGGGGAGACAGAGGACAAGACACAGAGACAGAGAACACAGAGAAACAAATGGGAGAAAGCAGGAGACCAGGAGACCCAAGAAGAAACTGAGGGAGAGAGAATGAGAAACAGAGACAAGCAAAGTGAGGCACAGAGACGAGCACCAAGAGACAGAGAGACAAACAGAGAGAAAAGCAAACAAAGAGACCCAGGAGGACCAGAGTGAAACCAAACTAGCCCCAAAGAGACGGGAACGTGACCCCAGCCCCGCCTCTGCTACCCCGACACTCACCACAGCCGACCTGTGCCCGCCAGTCTTCCATGACAACCCCAGCGGCCTGGCAGGCGGCCACGTAGGAAGCCAGTGCCTTGCAAAGAATGTCGTGGGCCCCACCACCCATGCAGACGTCCAGGACACAGCCCTTGAAGAAGCTCTCAGGTGGCACATGAGCATGGCAGGTGGCGAAGGGGCCCCCTGCGCCAGGGACCAGGGGTCCGCAAAAGCCAGGGCCCTTGTACTGTTCCAGCTTGTCCTCAGGGCACGTTGGGCAGGATCCCGGACATACATCCCAACACAGTGGGTCCCAGCCTGGGACTCGCCAGCTGCCGCCCCAGATGGGTATGGAGGGAGCCAGGGTGCCATTAGGGAAGGCCTGGTCATTGTTGGGGTTGCGGTCCATGTTACCACAGAGCCCGCACACTGCGCCATGATAGCTGCTGGGCAGCGTCACATCTACCCGCCAATTCCAGTCATAGCTGACTTGCAGTCCAAAGTCAGCCACCAGCAGTGCCTTGGATGCACCGTGGGTCACTGAAATCCGCCCGTTGGCCTCGGAGACAGGCAACGCTGTCAGCACACCGTTCACCTTGGGGAAGGAGGAAGAAGTCAAACGGGTCACTGGAGGTGTTATGGCCCCAGCTCTGGCCCTCTGCCTCCCTCTCTCTCACCCTACCGGGGGCTGGGAGGGGCCAAGGCCTTCCTCTGATAGTTGGATTGTCATCGGACACCGTGTGGACATTTGTTCTGGCCCAGGTCTTGGGGAATGAAACCTCACTTTACTCTTTCTAATCTTCTCCCTTGATCTCTACCTCCCTCCCTGTCTCTGTCTCTCTGTGTCTCTCTCCCTCTGTCTTCACCTAAGTCTCTATCACTTGGTCGTCTCTCTCTCTCTCTCTCTGTCTGTCTCTCCCTCCTCTTCCCTTCCTCCCTCCCTCCCTCATTCTCTGTGTCTCTTCCACTCACTCACTATCATTTATTCACCGCCTACTCTGTTCCATCCCTCTGTGTCTGTCTGTGAGCTACCATTAAGCTCTATCTCCATTTCCCTGGGCAGAAAGGACAGCCCATCTCTCTCCTGTGATCTCACTATATATATATATATATGTATATATATATGGTTTTTTTTTTTTTTTGGTGGGGGGAATGGATACTCGCTCTGTCGTCCAGGCTGAAGTACAGTGTCAAAATCTTGGCTCTTGCAACCTCCGCCTCCCAGGTTCAAGTGATTCTCCTGCCTCGGCCTCCAGAGTAGCTGGGATTAGAGTAGCGCCACTACACCCAGCTAATTTTTGTATTTTTAGTAGAGATGAGGGTTTCACCATATTGGCCAGGCTGGTCTTGAACTACTGACCTCAGGTGATCGACCCGCCTTGGTCTCCCAGAGTACTGGGATTACAGGTGTGAGCCCCCGTGCCCAGCCCAATCCCCTATATTTCTCTCCATGTCCTGGTTTCTGGGCCTCTCACTTGTTCCCTCACAGACACTCAAAGGAGTGTTCACCTGGACTAGACTCTGAGCTCAGCATGTGACATGCACCTTGCTGTGGGACAGGCCCTGATATGATGCCCACTTCACAGATGAGGAAACTGAGGCCTACCAAGTGAACTGCACAGCATCACCTAGCTCATAAGGAGGAGAGGCTGGATTCAAACCCAGGTCTGTAAAAAAGGGAAATCCTGAGGTCCTAGGTTAAAGCCCTTAGAAAAGGGCCAGGCTTGTTTAATTCCCAGGAACGGGGTGATATTTTTGCTGGAATTATTCTTTTTGTTGACAGTTTGTTTCAGGCCCAGGTGAAGACAAGGAGCCTCGAGCTGCTAACTGTGGTCGTCAGGATCCCTCCTGTCCTCCCGGGGACCTCAGGGGACCATCCTGCCACACATACCCGGACTTTGCCGATCTCGCCCTTGTGGATGGAGATGTTGGTGCCCAGGGCAGCCACAGTGACGACTCTCACGTAGGACACAGCAGGGTTGCCCCGGTTCTCGTTCTTGGTGGTGACGGTGAAGGGCGTCAGGCCCTGGGTGTTGACCCCCGGGCAGCCAGTTGTTGCCAGCACATAGTTACAGGTGCCCTGGAAGTCAAACGCCCGGCCGTCGAAGGAGTGGTAGTGTGGGTCGCCCCACAGCCAGCACGTGGCCTCATAGTTGGGCACACACATGCCCTGGCCACCCTGCTCCTTGCACGTCTCCTGTGGCCGGCATGTCACACCGTCGCACGGGTCTGGGGACAGAAGAGGGAGGACCTTGAGAGGCTGCCCATTGTAAAGGATGGCCGCTGCCTCCACATCTACCCCAGTCTGTGCCAGGGATCTGAGGGTTACCGCAGGCAAGACCAGATTCCAGAGTCCTCATGTCGAGGACCCAGGTCCTATAGTTTGCTTTTGTATTTGGTTTTGTTTTGTTGGTTTTTTGAGATGGAGTCTTTCTCTGTCACCCAGGCTGGAGAGCAGTGGTGCAATCTCGGCTCACTGCAACCTCTGCCTCCCGGGCTCTAGTGATTCTCCTGACTCAGCCTCCTGAGTAGCTGGGATTACAGGTGCCCGCCACCATGCTTGGCTGATTTTTGTATTTTTAGTAGAGACAGAGTTTGATCATGTTTTCCAGGCTGGTCTCGAGCTCCTGACATCAAGTGATCAGCCAACCTTGGCCTCCCAGAGTGCTGGGATTACAGGCATGAGCCACCACGCCCAGCCTGCTATTTTCAAGACCAGCCCCTGGGAGTCCCACACGTCTGACACTGTGGCCCCATGGTGGACTGTGTCTAAGTCTCAGGTGTCAAAGTTCCCATACGTGAGACCCGGGCCCCAGAGGTCCCTACAGCCAAGACCCCGGCCCTAGAGTCCCCCTACCTCTGAGACTGAGGCCCTGCCATTTGCTGTGTGAGACTGAGGTTGTGGAGTCCATGCACCTAAGACCAAGGCTCTGGGTCTGTGTTTACGATGTAGTTTCCATGGGGCCCTTGCTTGAGATTGTAGCCTGTTCTTGTATTTTAAGTTTTATAGGAACCTCACCCTCTTCACTTACATAGTCTACGGCTGCTTTCACGCCACCATGGCAGAGTGAGTAGCTGTGATCGAGAAGGCATAGCCTACAAGCTTAAACATTTACCATCTAGCCCTTTAGAGAAAAGGTGCACTTGACCCACGTTGAGATCTGTGCCCCAGGGGTCCTTGTGTCTGCAATGCCTGCCCTGAGAGCATTCATGTCTGAGATCCCAGCACTACAGTTCTCTCTGTTCAAGGCCTGGGCCCCAGGCCAGGTGTGGTGGCTCAGGCCTGTAATACCAGCACTTCAAGAGGCTGAGGTGGGAGGATCGCTTGATCCCTGGAGTTGGAGACCAGCCTGGGCAGCATAGGAAGACCCCATTTCTACAAAAAAGAAATTAATAAATTAGCCAGGCATGGTAGTGTGTGCCTGTAGTCCCCCGCTACTTGGGAGGCTGAGGCGAGAGGATTGCTTGTGCCAAGGAGATGGAGGCTTCAGTGAGTTATGATCGCACTGCATCACTACACTCCAGCCTAGGCGACAGAGTGAGACTTTATCTCAAAAAAAAAAAAAAGGATCTTAGTCTCAGGGTCCCCCATGCCTGAGATCTCAGCCCCCTGGACTTCTCCAGGTCCTGGCGGCCTCTGTGCCCTAGACTAGGGCCCTGGGTGATCTTCTGGCAAGAGCTCAGTGCCAGGGGTCTCAGCATGATTTGAAACGTTTGAGGCCCTAACTAGTTAAGTCTCATGGCCTGGGGCTCCCTCAGTGCAAAACTCCGTCCCTGAGGGTTGCTTTATTAAAGACAGTAGCCTCCAGGGGTGCCTCACTGCTGAGGCCCTGTCCTGGAGGGCTTCTGTGTCCAAGACCCTGTTCCTACAGTTAGTACATCTGTGACCCCAGCTTGTGGAACCCCTGTGTAGGAGAAGCCAGTCTTCTAATGTCTCCTTCCTCCTGTGCCTGTTACCAATGTACCGCCTCTCAGCTTCAGATGCACCCGCGGAGTTAAGCTTTGTCAACAGAGGGGGCTGGAGAGTCACTGCAGCAGGGAGGGGCTCCTGGTCTGGCTTCCAGCCGGTTTGGCCCTTCCAGCTCTGGCCAGGGTGTGTGGCCACACTCAGCAAGTGCCACTGGTCCCAGCTGGCTTCCCAGTGAGGGGTTTCCTTCTTGCCAACTCCAGCCTGCAGAAACCTCTGTGCCACCCAGTGGGCTACAGCTGCACTAGGACTGGACTCAGCCTTGGGGCTGATTCTCCCCTCCTTGAAGAGGAGGGGCTAATTTCTCCCTTCCATGAGGCCTCTACCTTAGCCCTAGAAGTGGGGGCTACTTCCTCTGTCTGCTTTGATGGTATTCTTTAGCCTTCTCTTTGCTGTTTCTTATTTCTATTTCTTTATTTGTAAAGAGACAAGGTGTTGCTATCTTGCCCAGGCTGGAGCGCAGTGGTGCAATCATAGCTCACTGCAGCCTCGAACTCCTGGGCTCAAGTGGTCCTCCCAACTCAGCCTCCTGAATAGCTGGGACCACAGGCGTATATGACCACGCCTGGCTACGTTTAAATTTTTTGTGGAGACGGGTGTCTCGCTATGTTGCCCAGACTGGTCTTGAACTCCTGGCCTCAAGCAATCCTCCCAAAGTGCTGGGTGTGTGAGCCACCACACCAGGTCCTCTTTACCCTTTAATAGTTAATCTCCTATTAATAAGTAAATGATTCTTTAATTAAACTTCCCTCATTCAAATGGCTGGGTGCTTTCTGTCTCTCGACTGGATGCTGAGCGATATACGCCCCGTTCCTTGGAGTCCCATTATCCTGCTCATCACCCTGAGAGTCTTAGCCCTACACCTTGGTGCTGGAGCTCTTATTCTCTTATCCATGCGGAGAGGAAGGTTCTCTGCTCGTCGTCCTAAGAAATGAGCCCTGGGGGTGGCTCTGTGTCCTAGATTTAGTCTGGGGGGTTCCCACATCGGAGACTATACCCCTAGAAATCCTGATCTCCCACCTGAGAGGGGTCCCCATATCCAATGTTCTGCCTTGGTGGGGTCTCTGTGCCTCAAACTCAGAACTCTGCTCTGTCTCTGTCCCTGGGATCCCAGTCTCTCCCCTGCCCTTTGGTGCTAGTGTCTGAACCCCAGGCCTAATTCCACGCACCAGCGGTCAGCTCACCATGGCCCCCTAGGCTGCTGCTCTTGTATTCTAAAGTCTTATAGCAGCCTCACCTCTTCACTTATATAGTCTACGGCTGCTTTCATGCCACAGGGGCAGAGTGAGTAGTTGGAACGAGACCATACAGCCTGCAAGCTGAAACATTTACCATGTAGCCCGTATCAGCAAAGGCGCGCCTGTCCCTGCCTTATACCGAGGGTCTCTGACATCAACCCCGAGAAACCTCTGAGGGTCCCCACAGCCTGGATTTTCCCTAAGGGTCCCTGCCTCCCACAGTAGGTGGCCCTGGCCCTGTGAAACCCAGCCCAGGGGTCTCCAGGTCTGCGACCTCCATCATTAGTTCTGTGCACCTCACGCCATGTACACCCCAGTCACATCACCCTCGGCCCCAGAGTCCCTGTACTCCATCCATAGTCACATCAGCCCCAGTCCCAGCCCAGCCCAGCACCTTTGGTGATGCAGCTCAGGACGCCTCCGGAGGGCTGGCACACCTGCCCCGGCTTGCAGCTGTGTTTCTGGCACAGCACACCTTTACCCGCATGGCACGTACACTGCTGCCGACAGTCGTCAATGAGGACTGTCTGCTCCGGCTGTGGGGAGAGAGGGCACGGCCATCAGACATCACGGGTGGGAGCCGACTCTCACATCTCTGGCATTCTGGGCACAGAGGGGTTTGCAGACATCACAGACAAGGGACATCTCTCAGCAGGATGGCCCCTTGTCTGTGAAGCTGAGGCACAGCATGACTTTGGGGCTGTCCTTCACTTGTATATTTGTTCATTCACTTTTATTCATTAACTCATTCATTCCAAAATATCCGCTCAATGTGTGCTGTAGGAGAAACAGTGTGACATAGTAACTAAGGGCAGATCGCCTGGGCTTGAAGCCGGTTTCTTCTGTTTCCCAACTGTGTGACTCTGAGCAAGTTACTTCACCTCTTTATGGCTCAGTTTCCTGATTTGCAAATTGCTGATAATAGTAGCACTTGCCTATGGAACTATAACCGAGTTAATAACACATGTAAAGTGCAGATGAAAGGAAAAAGGCGTCCTTTAAATCATTCAGATAGGAGAGATAAGTGGGGTAGACATGAAACAAGATTGGGAGGATGTGGCTTATTTTTTAAGCTAAGTGATGGGTAAGTACATGGACAGTCATTCCACTGTTCTCTTACTTTTTGCATGTTTGAAAATTTTCAGAATAAAAAATTTTTAGATATGTAATGTGTATGTAAAATATGCACACATAGCACTTAAAACATTACCAGATACATAGTAAGCACTATCTACATATTTTCTATTATTATTACTATTACTCATGTGAAGAGAACAACAGAGAGAGGGTCCCACCCCTCGGGCAGCTCACAGTCCTGCAAGGGAGACGGACATTAGACAAATACATGCTCCAGTCAAAGAAAAAGGACCAATAGGGAGACAGTGGGAAAGGGAAACAGAGGGTGTTAGCAGCTGGTATAACAGATGAAAATCTTGTCTTTGTGGTCAGAAAGGCTCCCTTCATCCAGACCTGGAAGGCAAAGCCACAACTTGACCTGGGGAGTCAGGGAAGGGTTTAAAGCTTCGGAGCCTATGGTCATATTTAGGAAGATCTTTACCACTGCCATGTGGAGGGTGGACCAGAGGGAGCAAAGGTAGGAGCTGGGAGGGACCCAGGTGGGAGAGGACCAGCTGGACCACAGGAGGACCATGGGGACGGGGAAAGGAGTGGGTACAAGAGACATTCAAGAGGCTGAGTAGACTAGCTGCAGTGGCTCACACCTGTAATCCCTGCAGTTTGGGAGGCCAAGGCGAGAGGATCACTTGAAGTCAAGAGTTCGAGACCAGCCTGGCCTATATGGCAAAATCCCATCTCTACCAAATTAACTGTGTGTGGTGGCCCGTGCCTGTAGTCCCAGCTTCTCGGGAGGCTGAGGCAGGAGAATTACTTGAACCTGGGAGGCTGAGGTTGCAGTAAGCTTGAACCCAGGAGGCGGAGGTTGCACTCCAGCCTGGACGACAGAGTAAGACTCAGTCTCAAAAAAACCCAAAAAACAGAGAGAGAGGCTGAGTCACCCAGGCATGGTGGCTTATGCCATTAATCCCAACACTTGGGGAGGGCAAGGTGGGAAGATGGCTTGAGGCCTGGAGTTCACAACCAGCCTGAGCAACATAGTGAGATGCCCCCATATCTATGTCTCCACAAGAAAATTAAAAACTTGCTGGGCTTGCTGGTGAATGCCTGTAGTCCCAAATACTTGCTTGAGCCAAGGAACTCAGGGCTGCAGTAAGCTATGACCGTACCACTGCACTCCAGCCTGGGTGACAGAGTGAGACCCTGACTCTAAAAGAAATAAATAAGAGAACAAGTAGACCAAGTAGGCTGTGGGGCTGATGAGGAGTGGGAAGCATGAGGCCCCATATTCTGCCCCAGATGACTAGGTTCCTACCTCATAGTAGACACCATTGTGGTAGCAGCCGCACTGCTGGATGGGCACGCAGGCTTCACCGTTGTAGAGGAAGCCGGCGTCACACTGGCAGCCTTCAGCACACTCATCTGGGCACTGCAGAGGGGCACTGAGAGCCGCGCAGCCCAGGGAGCAGGTGTCCGCGCAGAGCTCGTAGTGACTGTTCGCTGGGCACTTCATGGCTGCAAGGAAGGGGTGCCCGTCAGAGCCCTGGGGAGGGAGGGGCTGCAAGGCCCAGGGTCTACCCTTCTGTGCTTCAACCTCTCCCCTCCCTGCCCCTCTGGCTCTCCCTCACTCACGACAGAAAGTTTCCGTCCTCCAGGGCTTCACGTGGCCTCCAGCCGCCTGGCAAGCACTCACATAGGCATGGATGTTGCTGCAAAGAATGCTCAGGTTCCCACCACCCAGGCAGAGATCAAAGACGCAATCTTGCAAGGGACCCTGGGGATCCACCAGCTTGTGGCAGGAGGCCAGCGGCCCTGTGGCGCTGGAGAGGAGCCCACAGAACTCCTCCTTCTCATACTTCTTCTCCTGCTCGGGAGGACACTTGCTGGTTTCGCAGCCCTCGCTCCCTGGCGGGCAGGTGGGTGGCGGCAGGCAGGGAGAGCCAGGTACCGCCTCCTCCCAGGAGTTGCCGAAGTCATTGGCGTTGCCTGCCTGTGAGCCGTTGGGCTTCTGGAAGTCATCCTTGGGGTCGCCGTTGTAGTTCCCACACAGGCCACACATCTGCTGGTAGTAGTTTCCGGGGATGGTGACCCGCACATAGTACACAAGGTCGTAGGCCACACGCAGGCCAAAGTCGGTCTCAATCACAACGTCTGAACCATGCTGGGAGGCTCGGATCTGACCGTTGGCCAGCACCACAGGCAGCTTCATGTCCACACCGTTCACCTGGGAGGCGAGAGAGGCAGGCCACGCTTCAGAAAATAAACTTCGAGTGGGGGTCGGACCCTAGTTCAAGCCCATGCCTGATGCTGAAGATCTGTGTGTCCTCACCTCTTAGGTCTTCACTTTTTCTATCTCTAAAACTGGTAGAATAATAGGGCCTCATAGTGGATTGAATGGTGGTCTATAAAATGCATATTCACCCAGAATCCCATAATGTGAGCTTAAATGGAATAAAGTTCTTTGCAGATGGATTCAGGGAAATAACGTCAACATGAGATTGTCCTGGATTAAGCTGGGCCCCTAAATCCAATGGCAGGTGTCCTTATAAGAGCCAGAAAGAAAAAGACACAGAGACACACAGAAACGGCCACATGAAGATGAAGGCACAGATTAAAATGGTGTGGTCACAAGCCCAGAGAACCTGGAGCCTCCAGAGCTGGAAAGGGAAAGCAAGATTCCCCAACCAGTGCCTTTGGAGGCCATGCAGCTCTGCCGACACCCTGATG